CGGTGCCCGTATTAACGGGGTTTGACGACTTTTTAGACGGCGGGGGTGGGGGGGGGGGGGGGGGAGGGGTATCCGCCCTCTCACTTTCAAATTCGTTCCTACGGGCCCGTTATGTACAGTTAACGCCACTCCTTCTCCAGCAACGTAACTAACATCAGTACCCCGTCCACCGCCCCCTTACAAACCTTGTTGAAAATGCACTGCAATCTCCACACCGAGGATAATCCATGTACAGCATCGCAGCATAAATTATTACATGAAAAGCAATAACACGCAATACAAAAACTATTCAAGGTAGGCCCACACTAAAAAAGAAATAAAGCGTTTTCGGAGTGGGCTGGTCGGCGAACTCAAGATTAATGAGAGGAAATTATTGAGACAGTGAGACATGACGAAATCAGTTTTTAGAAAGTCAAGGTTACACAATTTGCAGGGATTTCGACAACTGAAGATGATTGCAGCAAGAGCCATTCGAAAGAGGAAGAGGTGAGGTCGTTTGCGATGCGTGCAGACGAAGCGATAGATTGTCAACAAGGGGAAGCAAAATGTGGTTTCGTAACCGTTGTGATAGGCATCATTATCATTGTTCTTCTTTTAGTTTTGTTTGGAAGAGTAGGTGTTTTTATACTTGTGTGTGTATTTGTATGTGAAGTCGCCATATAACACGCGCAACACACGTATTTCAACAACATATTGACACCTTCCTCTTCTTCAACAGTTGCCCATTTCATTCCTTATAACTTCGCAATTCACTCGGATCAAAAACATCCAACTCGTCCCTAATAGGCTAATCCATTCCGCTCTACTCAATAAACTAACCACGAAATAAAATCAAAGAAGCAACAAATTCAGATGACCTCTAAGGAAACAGGCGCTTCAAATTGTCTATCTCTGATTGGTGCATTTCGATCCTCTTCTCTGCACATTCAATAGGAAGATTTTACATGTAACATAAACAAGCCATTTTTGAGCTAAGCAGGTCAACCGGAACTGAACGCTTTTCCCCTTTAATAGGCTTTGACATTTCCAAATTTGTATCGCTAAATGCCTTTACACTTACAAAAAACAGTTTGCGCAAAATCATTTTTCACGAATAGCAAAACTCCACTTCCGGTCTCACTCAGTTTCTTAAAAGGCCAAAATAACTAATCCTCGGACGCCGAGTGCTCGTCTCCGTCATCTAACGGAGCAAAGATGAGTCACTACAAAACCCGGGCGAGCCAAAAATACTATTTCTTTCTTCCTCAGATAAACTAAACAACTCGAGCTGATCTCGAGACCTCTCGACAACTTCCGCCCTCACTTCGGCAACAAACTGCACGTTTACGACTTTCTTGAGCGTCGCAAATCCTTTCATACTTCGCGCTCCGCTGAAATATCTATTGAAACCGAAAGAACTCGAAGTGATCTCGAGATATCTCATTCCGGTGTCGTTACGTTGAATACCCGAAACAAGCCGAAAAGTCACGAACTTGGGTGCCCAATCTTATCTCGTACCTATTTTTCACGTCTCAGTTTTTCCTTGGGTTGCAGTGGCACAATCGGTGAATCCCTCAACTTAGGGTCTCGTCTGATCTGACGGGTTATATGTGAGTCGGCTCAAACCCTGGACAAACCAAAATAATAATCCTTTCTCACACCAATAAATTAACGAATAAATCAAAGAACTTGAAGTGATCGCGAGATATCCCGAACTAATCCAGCTCTCACTTCGTCAAATAGCCGATTCAGACCGAAGACCCACGGACTTTGAGTACCCAATCTTGTCCCAAAAAAAGCAACATTAAGACATTCCTAAGCGTCGCGAATCTCTTACTTCACGCTCGCCGAAGTAAAAAATATAAATGTTAACTGACCTGCGCATGCAAAACTGAGTTAAGATTGTGTCCATGAGAGAACCAGGCGAGTTTGCCTTTTGGTCGAGGGTCGAGGGTCGAGGGTCGAGGGTAAATGGTCGAGGGTCGAAAAATCCTCCACAATTATTTCTGAATTTTTTTTCAATTTAAAACCTAAAATTCCCAAATAAAGCAACCAAAGGAAAGAAGCGTGACAGGAAGTTCAATAAATATCATAATACCATTAAACTGTTGATTGAGAACTTTGAAGCAGGATCTCAGCTCTAATTTTCTTTAACTATAAGACATTTAAGATTCGATTTAAGATAGAGCACAATGCATGTGCATTTTTTCTTTAAAGTTTTAGATTTGAGAAAGAGTCAATTTCGAGAAAACATCCGGTACTTCCCTTTTTTAGAGATTTCTATCTCTTGTACTGCCTAAGAATGTGATAATGCTACAACACCTTATTATCCAATTTCCGCTCTCTTATCTGTCAAGTGATCACTTACGGTTGGTTAAAAAGTTGGTTAAAAAGTAGAAGCAAATTTCAAACTTTTAGCTCTAAAAAGCGGTCGGAATCATTTAAGAGAGGTAGTTGCATACAAGAGGTTTCAATATAGTGATTTGACGTGGAAACTTTTCGTATTTTGGAAATTGGTCGCTGAGCAGAGGCGGTCGCTTACAGTAGCTGGTCGCAATCGGATGTTCGACTGTATCAAATAAAGAACAACGCCATACAACTCGTCTGTTTCTTTTTAGCACCCTAAAGCGCGTCTTTACTTTTGTTTCTCCGCTGTTCGTTTGGTATACATCTCTTCTGGGTTATATCGATTCTGCCAAAAAAGAATACAACCGCCAATCTCGTAAACCAAGCTCAAGCGCTGCTGAGAGCAAATTGTAACTGGTTGTGGATTTTAGTTTTATCAGGCGGAATGCTAACTAATCACCCAATTATCACGCGGTCCCGTTCTCATTGCTAAACTTCCAGGAACGGCAGTCAGTCTTTGTAACACTCAAGAAAACAATATTTAATAGTGATAGCAGAAACCCAGTGGTTTTCCCTGGATTTCAGAGGATGGGTTATTAAATGGAGGGGGTATTGTAACCCATACTCGCTAAACATCGACAGCCACCAAAAGGCGTCCGCTAAAATAATACAACAGGGAAAATTTTCGTGTTTACCATCTTTTTGAATTAGCAATAAAAGGGGGTGGTAGGCCTACACGACTTTTACCTCATGCCAAAATGCTGCTTATTCCAATAAAGTTGTTTTTATCTGCTGGGTAGATTATGATCTGGAAGGTTCTAGTGGACGTGGGAAATATTAAATACAAACAGTGCAAGTTACGAGATTAGCAGCCTTTTCATAAGCGAGTGAAACGTTAGAAAAGAAAACCATTGGGTCTCTGCTTTCAATATTCAATATTATTTACTCGAGTGTTACAACGATACATGATGCACGTGCCACTAGATGTTAATGTAATATCACCTTCATCACCGTGGGAGTGTAAAAGTTATAAGGGGGGGGGGGGGGGGGGGGGGGGGGGGGGGGGGGGGTATCCGCCCTCTCACTTTCAAATTCGTTCCTACGGGCCCGTTATGTACAGTTAACGCCACTCCTTCTCCAGCAACGTAACTAACATCAGTACCCCGTCCACCGCCCCCTTACAAACCTTGTTGAAAATGCACTGCAATCTCCACACCGAGGATAATCCATGTACAGCATCGCAGCATAAATTATTACATGAAAAGCAATAACACGCAATACAAAAACTATTCAAGGTAGGCCCACACTAAAAAAGAAATAAAGCGTTTTCGGAGTGGGCTGGTCGGCGAACTCAAGATTAATGAGAGGAAATTATTGAGACAGTGAGACATGACGAAATCAGTTTTTAGAAAGTCAAGGTTACACAATTTGCAGGGATTTCGACAACTGAAGATGATTGCAGCAAGAGCCATTCGAAAGAGGAAGAGGTGAGGTCGTTTGCGATGCGTGCAGACGAAGCGATAGATTGTCAACAAGGGGAAGCAAAATGTGGTTTCGTAACCGTTGTGATAGGCATCATTATCATTGTTCTTCTTTTAGTTTTGTTTGGAAGAGTAGGTGTTTTTATACTTGTGTGTGTATTTGTATGTGAAGTCGCCATATAACACGCGCAACACACGTATTTCAACAACATATTGACACCTTCCTCTTCTTCAACAGTTGCCCATTTCATTCCTTATAACTTCGCAATTCACTCGGATCAAAAACATCCAACTCGTCCCTAATAGGCTAATCCATTCCGCTCTACTCAATAAACTAACCACGAAATAAAATCAAAGAAGCAACAAATTCAGATGACCTCTAAGGAAACAGGCGCTTCAAATTGTCTATCTCTGATTGGTGCATTTCGATCCTCTTCTCTGCACATTCAATAGGAAGATTTTACATGTAACATAAACAAGCCATTTTTGAGCTAAGCAGGTCAACCGGAACTGAACGCTTTTCCCCTTTAATAGGCTTTGACATTTCCAAATTTGTATCGCTAAATGCCTTTACACTTACAAAAAACAGTTTGCGCAAAATCATTTTTCACGAATAGCAAAACTCCACTTCCGGTCTCACTCAGTTTCTTAAAAGGCCAAAATAACTAATCCTCGGACGCCGAGTGCTCGTCTCCGTCATCTAACGGAGCAAAGATGAGTCACTACAAAACCCGGGCGAGCCAAAAATACTATTTCTTTCTTCCTCAGATAAACTAAACAACTCGAGCTGATCTCGAGACCTCTCGACAACTTCCGCCCTCACTTCGGCAACAAACTGCACGTTTACGACTTTCTTGAGCGTCGCAAATCCTTTCATACTTCGCGCTCCGCTGAAATATCTATTGAAACCGAAAGAACTCGAAGTGATCTCGAGATATCTCATTCCGGTGTCGTTACGTTGAATACCCGAAACAAGCCGAAAAGTCACGAACTTGGGTGCCCAATCTTATCTCGTACCTATTTTTCACGTCTCAGTTTTTCCTTGGGTTGCAGTGGCACAATCGGTGAATCCCTCAACTTAGGGTCTCGTCTGATCTGACGGGTTATATGTGAGTCGGCTCAAACCCTGGACAAACCAAAATAATAATCCTTTCTCACACCAATAAATTAACGAATAAATCAAAGAACTTGAAGTGATCGCGAGATATCCCGAACTAATCCAGCTCTCACTTCGTCAAATAGCCGATTCAGACCGAAGACCCACGGACTTTGAGTACCCAATCTTGTCCCAAAAAAAGCAACATTAAGACATTCCTAAGCGTCGCGAATCTCTTACTTCACGCTCGCCGAAGTAAAAAATATAAATGTTAACTGACCTGCGCATGCAAAACTGAGTTAAGATTGTGTCCATGAGAGAACCAGGCGAGTTTGCCTTTTGGTCGAGGGTCGAGGGTCGAGGGTCGAGGGTAAATGGTCGAGGGTCGAAAAATCCTCCACAATTATTTCTGAATTTTTTTTCAATTTAAAACCTAAAATTCCCAAATAAAGCAACCAAAGGAAAGAAGCGTGACAGGAAGTTCAATAAATATCATAATACCATTAAACTGTTGATTGAGAACTTTGAAGCAGGATCTCAGCTCTAATTTTCTTTAACTATAAGACATTTAAGATTCGATTTAAGATAGAGCACAATGCATGTGCATTTTTTCTTTAAAGTTTTAGATTTGAGAAAGAGTCAATTTCGAGAAAACATCCGGTACTTCCCTTTTTTAGAGATTTCTATCTCTTGTACTGCCTAAGAATGTGATAATGCTACAACACCTTATTATCCAATTTCCGCTCTCTTATCTGTCAAGTGATCACTTACGGTTGGTTAAAAAGTTGGTTAAAAAGTAGAAGCAAATTTCAAACTTTTAGCTCTAAAAAGCGGTCGGAATCATTTAAGAGAGGTAGTTGCATACAAGAGGTTTCAATATAGTGATTTGACGTGGAAACTTTTCGTATTTTGGAAATTGGTCGCTGAGCAGAGGCGGTCGCTTACAGTAGCTGGTCGCAATCGGATGTTCGACTGTATCAAATAAAGAACAACGCCATACAACTCGTCTGTTTCTTTTTAGCACCCTAAAGCGCGTCTTTACTTTTGTTTCTCCGCTGTTCGTTTGGTATACATCTCTTCTGGGTTATATCGATTCTGCCAAAAAAGAATACAACCGCCAATCTCGTAAACCAAGCTCAAGCGCTGCTGAGAGCAAATTGTAACTGGTTGTGGATTTTAGTTTTATCAGGCGGAATGCTAACTAATCACCCAATTATCACGCGGTCCCGTTCTCATTGCTAAACTTCCAGGAACGGCAGTCAGTCTTTGTAACACTCAAGAAAACAATATTTAATAGTGATAGCAGAAACCCAGTGGTTTTCCCTGGATTTCAGAGGATGGGTTATTAAATGGAGGGGGTATTGTAACCCATACTCGCTAAACATCGACAGCCACCAAAAGGCGTCCGCTAAAATAATACAACAGGGAAAATTTTCGTGTTTACCATCTTTTTGAATTAGCAATAAAAGGGGGTGGTAGGCCTACACGACTTTTACCTCATGCCAAAATGCTGCTTATTCCAATAAAGTTGTTTTTATCTGCTGGGTAGATTATGATCTGGAAGGTTCTAGTGGACGTGGGAAATATTAAATACAAACAGTGCAAGTTACGAGATTAGCAGCCTTTTCATAAGCGAGTGAAACGTTAGAAAAGAAAACCATTGGGTCTCTGCTTTCAATATTCAATATTATTTACTCGAGTGTTACAACGATACATGATGCACGTGCCACTAGATGTTAATGTAATATCACCTTCATCACCGTGGGAGTGTAAAAGTTATAAGCAACACAAGACAAATAAAAAAAGGAACCGGGGACTCGAGTAAACACGAGCCTACTTGAAAATTTGATTTGACGACGTTCAGAAATAATTGTGGAGGATTTTTCGACCCTCGATTAGTCATAAGCGAGTGAAATATTAGACAACAAAACCACTGGGTGTGTGCTATCAATATTCAATATTATTTACTCGAGTGTTACAACGACAAATGATACACGTGCCCCTAGGTGTTAACGTAAGAATAAAACAGGCACCGGAAACTCGAGCAAACACGAAATTTTGATTTGACGACGTTCAAAAATAATTGTGGAGGATTTTTCGACCCTCGACCATTTACCCTCGACCCTCGACTAGTTACCCTCGACCCTCGACCAAAAGGCAAACTCGAACCAGGCAGGGGGTGATAATGCTCAAATCACGAGTTTCCCTCAAACTTGGCACAATTGATGGGGGTGGTGAGGTATTAACCTCGACAAAAATTAAGGCGCCAATATTGAATTCCCTGGTATTTACAGGGACCCCCCCTAAAAATGACAAAACCTACTCATTTTTTTCATAATTAATTAGCTAACTTTGGTTTGGCCGTTCAACAAGTAGAAAAGACAACGTCAAATCTAATCAACTTTATCATCTTCTATATTTTTACTCTCTAATTCGATCTTTTCCTATTATTTAGCCTAAAGTAGTAGTGTTAGTGGCTAACATCTCCCATGAGCAACAACCTACGTACTAACTTCTCACATATTCTTTGAAAAACATCTTTAAGGTTATCAAATCAATCATAAAACTCCCGCCGCCCTCACTCTCCACGCAGAGATGTTTTCTTCGCGGGGAGCTAATCCGACTTAATCCCATTTAATATGTCGCGCTCCTCGAAAGTGCGAAAATTTTCTTGTCATGTATCAAATTTCAGTATACATTTTGTTAATCTTTATTTCGCGCCAAAATAAATTATTTTGCGCGCAAAGGGCTTCTAAACAAATCGCAAGGTTTGTCCCACTTCGAGTCTACCTTCTGCAGATACGCCAGCTTGGTAGCTGGAATACATTGCCGAGGCGAAGATCCAGAAGATCTGGCGTTCTTTCCTCCTCCCCTTTTTTTCTCCACGACATTTGTTTATATTTGTTGTGAGAATGCAGTGCATATCGGTGGATTTTACTTCGTGCAGCTTGCTACTTATAAAAGAAGAGTGCCCGAATTTCATCGCTTTGTTCGCCTTTAATTTGTTGTTGAATGCAAGGTAAAAGAACTGACTACTGTAAGATAAGAATTGAAGTTTTAAATTTGTTTCCTGGCGAGAAATAGTGCATAGAACTCGTGAAACCCGTGAGCATTAGCTCTGTTATCCCTAATGTCATGCGATAACTCCTCGCTTTTTTGATGGGTAACATGGATAAAAACAATAGCTTCTTTCGCAACGTCAATTATAATTTAGTTATCGAGACCATTTGAGGACGATTTTTCGCTATGGCTTATTCCGGCTACGTGTGAGGAGTTAGATGACAACGTTTGCGTGGTATCATTGCCAGAAATAGTGGACATTTCGCGCCCGTGATTAATTGTCAGCGGAATCTCATTTCCTAAATGGCGGACAAAAACGATCGTAGTCAGGGAAAGCGTATCCCCTGCGATTTTTTAAATAATTTGAGCTCTGTGGATCTGTTTTACGAAGAAAAAGGCTGGAATGAAACACCTTGCAAGAAAATGTTAGGTTTATACTCGGCCGAGCGGCTGATAGCAACAAAACAGTACGCGGCTGGTAGGCTAATCGAGGATTTTTGAATGCCTGGAACCTAGTTTATATCCCGTGAAGCATCTCTGGAGTTGTAGCAACAACCAAAATGGCGATTCCGTGAGGTTTGGAGTTGTGAAGCTTTGTCCGACCGAAATAAGTCATTCGCAACCATGGCGTCCATTACTGGACTACAGATGGAAAACTGTGGGAAAAAATGCGCCTTTGGAAGTATTTTCCAGTGCAAAAATCGTCCTTTTAACGACTGTTTTGGAAACATCTTCCATCGCAGAAGTGATATCGAGTCGTGCAAATTTACTTCAGTGAAGGGTTTATCCTCTAATCGACGAGTATTTCGCATGACTTCGGCAAGATTTTAAGACAATGTATGGAGAAATGGAGCGTACAACGAGAGATAAAAGTGGCCACTTCGGGAAGTAAGTAAACCTACTTCTAATTAGCTATTTTTAACCCAGATGCAAAGGTTACACAGCACTTAACATGTTTCGAGTCGTGCACCGAACACCCGTGAGCTCATAATCGATATATTTGAAAAAGTTTCCCTTTCTCCATACATTCTCTTATACGAATTCGCAGCCATTGTGGCCTTGGTGCGCACGCGCAACCGCCATCTTGTCCCTAATTTCTGGCAATGTAATTATGCTGATAATTTCTTGCACGGCTTTGCACCTTTATATTGAAACTCATGAAAGCCAAACTTGTTTAACCCTAGCAAAAAACTCTTTTATTGTGTGGAAACTTTTAACGTCTTTTGGGGCAACATATGGTGCAAAATTTAGGGAAAACAAAGCTTGATTTTTTGCGAAACGGACTGTATCTTTTTTCCTTGAAGATAGCGCGAGCCAAACGCAAGCTTTAAGCCCCGTGAGTACAGTGTAACCCAATGACTCTTTAGGTAGAGCTAACAAACATAGGCTTCGCATTTTTATCAATTTTATAATTAAACTCATTCATTTCATATATTGATATGCGGCATTGATTCTACGATCTACTTAACCTGTTTTATAAATTTTTAGTCTTCTTAATTCTTAGTTTTTTTTAACTGTCCATCACTTTTAACAAGAGCTTTACGGCTCAGGGACGTTAAATATATATATTATCATATGCTTATGTTATCTTATCTCTTATTGAGAATGAAAGAAATGCAGGAAAAAGGGAAAAAAGGAAAAAATGTATCAAAACACGTCAAACCTATTTGCATATCAAATAATATCGATGCATTATAATACCACGCATTGTGCGGTTAGTTTGATATGAATAGCGTTAACCATGCTATTTTTGAAGTTATTTGCTTTTTTCAATGTAACGAAGTTTCAGTTTCTTGTGATTCTTTCGGAAAACCTTTCGATCGGTTTCGAACGAACAAACTTGATTACTAAATTCCTTAGTATTTTTGGTACCGCTCTTTGCGTATAGGTGATTTTCAGTTTCTGAATGTTGTGTACTTTTTAGTTTCAAAAATTATTATCTAATAAACAGCAGTAAAAAATATCAAACAGATTTTGGCTGCGAAAGTGATGATTTATTATGCAACAATAGCAGTGGTAATATTTGTTGGCCTTACACTAGAGCCTTAAGTATAATGTAAGTGGAGTTGGAACCTACTTTGAAGGGGTAAAATGTACCTACTTCAGCTCTACTTGGTGACCATGGAAACGTTCGTAGTTCAAAGAAGCTGAAGTTCGCCGCCAAGTATGGGCTACACACCTGAGAACATACCTGACCAATGAGAAATTGAAGCGATATGCAGTATGTGCACGAGTAGCGGAGAGATTGACAGGTTTTACATCAAGTAATATACTTTGTCAACAAGTGTGAAGCCATGTTTCTACAGAACCTCTTAAGATTTCCAAGTGCTCTTGAATCAAGTGTTTGCTCGAAACTAACCTCGCTTCTAGTGTGAGGCCAACAACTGATTTGTAAGTGTGGAAACAACATGCTGTTTTCGCGCGAACGTTCACCTGGTATTTTCACTGGTGTTCATGTAATAACAATTAGTGCATTGGCTGTTATTTTCACACAATTTTGGCATGAAATAGGTCACGTGAACTTTACATGCCAAGGGTCTATTGAATAGATATAATCGGAACATTCAAATTTTTTCCCTGCCACCTTACCATTCCAGCGCAGAAATCTACTTTCGGTGGTCTAATATTTTCAAACTGTGCCAGCTAAATATTATTTAATGATTTATGATCTCCTTACATGGTACATGAAGTAGACAGCCAAGCTGAGGCTGGTCTTGAACCAAGGCTAAAGACTGTCTTTTTCATGTTTTTGAATTGAAACCAGCTGTTAAAACTGAAAGGTTAACGGCACAGGTACACAGGAGGTCAGTTTATTTATTTATTTATTTTATTTTTATGATTAATTTTTTATCATTTTTTTTTGTGGGAGAGGCTTTTTGTGACCCCGCTTTTATTACTTCTAATTGTGTGGTACATATCCCCTCTTCTTTTTTGTTCGTCTTATCCAAATAACGATAACCTATTAAAATTAGTGCAAGATCAACGGTTAGTTAAAGGCGTGCCTTTGTGGCAATAGTGATATCAGCGTCTGCATTTAAAGTTTGACTTTAGGGTCTTCTCCCTTGTATTTCAGCAATTACTGTGTCAAAAAATTTCAGCACTCCAAACTGCCGCTGTGATTATGCGGCGCTTATTCGAGGTCGGCGCCCTTTCAAGTTCATACTACTGGTTGTTGACCGTACGGTTGTGGTGGCAATCACTCCTCTCCCAGTGTAATTCTCCTTTCTATACAATAAAAGTGACCCTATATGATTCATGTCAGTTAATGGCCTGATTAGCTCAATGTATAGAGCGTTGTGTCTGGTCATCGCAACGATCAGGGTTCGATTCCCGGTAATGCTTGAATTTTTCAGGTTCTTTTTCAACTGCTTAGGTTGTCCATTCTTTACTGGAAGATCATCTTCACTTTCATTAAGTCCCTACACAGAACAAAGCAATATATTTCCGTGCAAACCTGAGTTTATTAAAAACAATTTATTTGAACATAGTTACATATTTCAAAGACAATTAAAAATACATACTTTTTTTTGCCCCGAAGAGCTACAAAATTTGATACCTCCTAGAGGATAAAACATAACCTTTCAGAGTTTCTAATCCTACGAAAAAAAGTTATACTGGGTTTTGAAGGGAAAAGCTGATTATAGCTTTGAAAACCAAAGCTTATTTCCTTTATTTTTACATTTCCGGAAAAAAAATTTAATTTCACAAAAATTGGAAATTTTACACGTAAATGCAGCGCCGCTAGACCGGTACCGCCTCTTTTATGAGAAAAATGGTATCCGGATGTGGTGAGTCTTTATTAAATGTCTTCAAAGACAATTTCTTCTCGCTATTTGAAGCGACGCATTTTCCCGTTTCTTGTTGTCCCAATGGCATCAGTGCTGTAAAAAAGCAGCCGATTCCGGCATTATCTGGCATTTTACAACCCAACTTCTTAACGTAGAATATCTCTGCTTCCCCGGCATTCAAAGCCTGTACGTTGAAAAAAGAAAATATTCGTTTTAGTTTAGACTGAGCTTACTAATAATAAAGGGGATAATAATAACAATAATAATGTTATTGTTATTGAACCTTAATATGTCTTAACTCACTTGACAAAGGAGGCCTCAAGAATTTGTAATGATGTGGCTTTTAACCTGCGGTATCGCGGTTTCAAAAGATTGATATGAGGTCTTTGTAACTAGTAAATACCCGAAGGATATTTCACGAAGTTATTGCTGTGGGTCTGCGCAAATTGTCGTCGTCAAAGGTGTTTTACGCAAAAAATCCGGCTAATTATGCTCAAGGATGGATAAACAACAGGTAGCCCAAGCTCACTATGAGAGCCCTGAACAACATTATCCTACTTAGCTAATTAATTATTCATACAGCAAGAAAATTATAAGACGTTGTATGGAGAAATATTCTTTGCTCACTAAATTAGCAAAATGTACATTGAATATCGCTTTGAAGCTTACCGTTAGCGTCTTCTTGTTTTTCTTTGTATTCTGACTGCATTTCAGACCTCTTGGGCACTGTTTAAGGCATTTTTTAGAGCGACAGTTTTTCACCCAGATGACGGTAGAGAGAAACTGTCGCTCCAAAAAAGGCCTTAAACAGTGCCTAGGAGGTTTGAAATGCAGTCAGAATACAAAGAAAAACAAGAAGACGCTAAAGGTAAGCTTCAAAGCGATATTCAATGTACATTTTGCTAATTTAGTGAGCAAAGAATATTTCTCCATACAACGTCTTATAATTTTCTTGCTGTATGAATAATTAATTAGCTAAGTAGGATAATGTTGGTCAGGGCTCTCATAGTGAGCTTGGGCCACCTGTGGATAAACTCGAAGAAGTTAAGACCTTTTATTGATTTACAGTCTAAAATATTACAGTGGAACCCCGCCTTATGGCCACCTCGGTAATACGGTCACCTCGTCATTACGGCCACCTTTTGTTGGCCGCCTGGCAAAAACGACCATACATTTTCTTGTAAAGAAACCCTCGTTAATACGGTCACCTCGTTTATTACGCGACATTTTTTTGGTCCATTGGTGACCGTATTAACGAGCTTCCACTGGATTGTCAAAGTGAGACGACGAGTCACAAGTTTAACATTGCCGGTACGCGTCAGATACAGTGTATCATGCTTACCCTCGTTTGCTTCAAAAGTTAAATTGAATTTTGTTGTGCATAATGTTATGTTGTTTCTGAGTTATTTTTCGCTGAGCCGTTATTTGCAATGCGGCGCCTGTATGCGAATCTAAGATTAAGTGTTTTCTCGTGGAATATACCGCAATTGAATACACGATTATAATCATTTGAAAAGTATTAATGGTTTTATTCAATAACCTATTTTTTCTTTCTGAATTCCCTACCCCCGTTTTCTAACACTTGTTTATACTCAAAGGGGAATCTTAAACATTGCGTGCATGGTAATCGTTTCACACCCATAGCTAGCTGGCTGTATTTCTTACTACAAATGTTTTATGTGTTAAAAATCTCTTTTTATAGCTTGGCACTAGCTAGAAAACGTTTGTTATCATAAAAACACAATAACATCATAATGATAACATAATTTCTGCCTGCGCCAGGTCTGAAAACGGTTAATGGATTTTAGAGGCCAGGAGCCCGTTTCTGGAAAGGCTCGGAAACTTTTCGGGTTCGGATATAAATTTTAAAATCAAAACTTGTTGAATAGTAGCACAGTTCCTGGCTCACAGTGCCTTGTTAACTGATGGTTTAATTGTACATGTATCATTGTCAAAATTATGGAAAATTAGATCTTGAATGCAAATATAGCAAACACCAAATAGCTTTCCGGGCCCCAAAAGCTCCCGGGACTTTCGAGAAATTGGCCCCTGTTCTGAAAACGGGTGTGAAAAATGACAATTTTTCGGTCTGAAATAGGGTCAGGATTAGGAGAACTGGGCGGCACACCCCCACGAATTCCCACGAATACTCCCCTCCTCCCCCGGGAGTGCCAGAGACACCACGTTAGTAGCGCAATTTATCGGCATTGTTCTTCCTTTGTCATGTTACTGTAAATTTAAATCATCCCAGCAGGCTTATGACCGAGATACTCGATCCGTAAATACAGCTATAAACACAGTGACCTACGGAACTGATAAAATCAACAGTCATGATGCATATTATTATTTTTTTTTTATGTAAAAAATTATTCTTTTCTTTCCATTAGCGATCGAAAAGTGTAAAATTCTCTATTTGGAGGTAGTAAATAATGAAGGTAGTTGTTGTTGTCTCGCTTCAATTAAACCTGGGATATTTTTCATATTGTATTTTACCGCACGAATTTCCTTAACTAATTTTCTAAACAAAGTATCCACGATTTCCCATAGTTTCGAGTTTGATTATACATTTAGATGCCATTCTCGACCCCAGAGCTCTTCTGCGCATGACGGCCAGGGAGGAAGAGCTCTGGGGAACCCTGGAACAAGATTGTCTCTGATTGGTTTCAGCAAAAAAACAATAAAAGTGTTTCTGATTGATCTATTTAAATTTGCTCGAGAGCGGGTGAACGTGCAACGTGTCTGGCATGTGAGCCGGTTTTTCCCGAGAAATATTGAAGTAAACACGCCGGGCCGAATCTTGATTGTTGCGATTCCAAAACAACATTTGCACGGCAATTAGGCAGACTACATGCATTCCCCAAATTTTAAATAAATACATTAGCTATATATCGAAAATTGAACAAGAAAAAGATTTGAATGTGAAAAATAAAATGTAAATGCACTGACACTTTGCCAGCTATAATTTAAGAAGCATTACACTTTACTGATTTTTCTTCGACTTCCACGTTATCGTATTCACTCGAAGTAGCCGAATATGAATGAAAACTTTAGCGTCATGTGGTAAATTGCCCAAAAAACAGACTTGCAAGAGAAAAGTAAGCAGAAAAAGTGAATCGTTCCCTGGCCCTATTAAAAATTGATGCGGGTACAATGCGACTAGATATTTATAGCTGTTTTCTTGTCCCCACGATATCGCATTTCAAAGGGTTTACATTTCATGAACAAACATAGACAAAAGGACGAACGCTAAATTCATATTTTCGAAACTTTTATAGGAATTACTATACGTTTATCTTAACAAGCCATTCGGGTATTACGTACCGCCTCGTGAAATAAGTAGTCCGCGCAAATATTTAATCAACTGTCGAGCATATGCAAATTTCAAGTCTGAAATCTGTGAACGTTTACGGTATTTTCTCAGCAGCTACTACAAGAGCCTTGGTTACCTAAGAATTCTTTATAATCAAGGGCTCCGTTCCTTCAGTTCTAATTCCGGAGGAGTACGAAACTTCGCGATGATGTAGATAAGAAAGAAGTAAACAGTTTTGGTTTGATAAAAGAGCGTGCGCTGTGTGGCCCAAATAGCCAGATTTTGGCTACGCCGGCGCAGAGTTTCCCAGAGCTTACGCGCGCATTCACAAACCCGTGAGCACTGGGATCAAGAACGATTTGGAGTTAATTGCGCCGCATGTTGACGTCTTCTGTACAGTTCGTAGTTTTATTTTTTATTATAATAATTATTATCATTATTTGCGGTTTTCAGATCCTTACACGTTTCCCTCTGAAAGAGGTACTGAAGCCCTGATTAAATCGTTCTTTCAATTAACTATAGTAAGATTATTGTTCGTAGAATTCTTTACCTTCACCGTTACGGTGTTGTCGTTCATATCAGCATGAAGAGCGTACTTTTCCCCGTTTTTCTGGACTTCTTGAAACTCAAGCCAAAATCCCATTTTGGAAGGACCTTTTTTGGACTTAATATCTTTGGCAGTGATTATGCCTTAAAAAGTAACAATAAAATAGCAGAGAAAATTAGTGGATAGAAATAATAATTTTAAGGATGTTAATGACCAATTTTGATCTGCTGGTGGCTTAGTTTAAGGTCCTACATGATAAAATCTTGTTGCTGGCTTTCACTTTTTAATTCTCCCCATGTCTTAATATATAGATTTAGCCAGGGCTAAAAGCGAAGCTCCTATTAACTCGAATTTATAATTTAAATCAAAAAATAAACTTGCAATTGTATTTTACAAATCAGTTAACTTTAGAGCACATTCATGTGACTTTTGAGGAAAAGGCTAAGTGATTTAAGAGAAAAATAATTTGCAAACAGTCCAAGCTAAGAGTGAGCTTAATCTTACATCGAGTTGATAGCCTTATATGTACACCCAAAAAATAGCAATCATCTTCGATCACATTCAAGAACCATAATGGCTGTTGATCACAGTAGATTAGGCCAGGAAAACAAATTCTCGGAAAACAAATCACGCTCAATTTTTTGCGTTCGACAAGTTTACAATTTATTTTACAAAATCTTGCTAACAAGTCTGAGGACGTGTAAACCAACCTTTTATACTTTTTATACATCATCTGAGGTGAAACAGTACCATGAGGCACTGTTTTTATCATACAGACCTCGGATAGATCACAATTTTGCAATACAAATTGTACTCATTCACTATTCAGGTCGATCAAAGCACGCGTGGGATTTTAGCGAAACCGTTAAAAAAATTTCTAAAATCACCTATACGGCTTGCCGGTTCTAGGCTTTTGACAAGCGCCAAAGTCGACTGTTTAAATCAAGATTAATAGAGTTATACGCTTTCACATGATAAAAATTTATTATGTTTATTTCTTTATTTAACGGTTTTATAACTATGTGAAATCTTCAAAAGCGTTTGATAGACGCGGCATTTTGACTACTCCTTCAAGCGATGTTCGTGAGCGACTGAAAACAAACGGCACAGCGATTAAAATTGCGAAAGAGACTACTAACAATCAATAAAAGGATAATAATTCGGTGAAACATATACAGAGACAACAATTTTCATTCACGAAGACAAGTAAAAAGTGTCTCTGAAAATCCTTGTTTATGTTTTATGCCGGCTTCCCGGCGTTTGCTTTTTTCAAAGATGAACTCGAGGCAAGAAAATCGCTCAAAGCTTTCTTTTGCAGCCAGAATTGTAACTAAATATTCTTTGCAACGTTTTCTTTCTATTTGCAGTGAGAAAATGTCTAAAGGCTTTTTAAAGTTCTATAAGCTTATAATCAAACCTGATACTCGGTCAAATCGATCATTGTCTAAAATCTTACAAACGTGCACAAACTAAATAGCCGCATAAACTACGCCCGACTTCATTAAATTAGATATAAAAAACAAACATCAAATACAATAATTACTCAGGCTTACCATTCGAGATGCTCTGAAAACTATCAAGTAAGGCCAGAATCGCTTCAGACTTTTCAGCCCTCTTACGGATCAAGCAAGGTGAAAAACGAAAACGATGCCATCCGAAATTGGATTTCCGACTTTGACAAGCGACGTATTTCTTAACCAAAAACCCAATAAACAAACGAGCTATTAATAACAGAAGACTCTTGATAGCAGCAGAATTTCATTTTGTACATTCAGCGGAGAAAGACAGTTAAAAACATCACAAGTTGACACAAAACTCTGTCAGCTTCAGCTGTCAAAGTAAACAAGTTTCA